ATTCGGCTTTGAAAATTTTGAAGTTCGATCTTTGAGCTGGCTCTAAATTCAACTCCAGCTCGAAATTCAACTTTTGAAAATTTTGAATTTCGATCTTCGAGCTGGCTCGAAATTCAACTCCAGCTCGAAATTCAACTTTTGAAAATTTTGAATTTCGATCTTCGAGCTGGCTCGAAATTCAACTCCAGCTCGAAATTCAACTTTTGAAAATTTTGAATTTCGATCTTCGAGCTGGCTCGAAATTCAACTCCAGCTCGAAATTCAACTTTTTGAAAATTTTGAATTTCGATCTTCGAGCTGGCTCGAAATTCAACTCCAGCTCGAAATTCAACTTTTGAAAATTTTGAATTTCGATCTTCGAGCTGGCTCGAAATTCAACTCCAGCTCGAAATTCAACTTTTGAAAATTTTGAATTTCGATCTTCGAGCTGGCTCGAAATTCAACTCCAGCTCGAAATTCAGCTCTAGTTTACTTTGAATTTCGATCTTCGAGCTGGCTCGAAATTCAACTCCAGCTCGAAATTCGGGTTTTGAAAATTTTGAATTTCGATCTTCGAGCTGGCTCGAAATTCAACTCCAGCTCGAAATTCAACTTTTGAAAATTTTGAATTTCGATCTTCGAGCTGGCTCGAAATTAAACTCCAGCTCGAAATTCAACTTTTGAAAATTTTGAATTTCGATCTTCGAGCTGGCTCGAAATTCAACTCCAGCTCGAAATTCAACTTTTGAAAATTTTGAATTTCGATCTTCGAGCTGGCTCGAAATTCAACTCCAGCTCGAAATTCAACTTTTGAAAATTTTGAATTTCGATCTTCGAGCTGGCTCGAAATTCAACTCCAGCTCGAAATTCAACTTTTGAAAATTTTGAATTTCGATCTTCGAGCTGGCTCGAAATTCAACTCCAGCTCGAAATTCAACTTTTGAAAATTTTGAATTTCGATCTTCGAGCTGGCTCGAAATTCAACTCCAGCTCGAAATTCGGGTTTTGAAAATTTTGAATTTCGATCTTCGAGCTGGCTCGAAATTCAACTCCAGCTCGAAATTCAACTTTTGAAAATTTTGAATTTCGATCTTCGAGCTGGCTCGAAATTCAACTCCAGCTCGAAATTCAACTTTTGAAAATTTTGAATTTCGATCTTCGAGCTGGCTCGAAATTCAACTCCAGCTCGAAATTCAACTTTTGAAAATTTTGAATTTCGATCTTCGAGCTGGCTCGAAATTCAACTCCAGCTCGAAATTCAACTTTTGAAAATTTTGAATTTCGATCTTCGAGCTGGCTCGAAATTCAACTCCAGCTCGAAATTCAACTTTTGAAAATTTTGAATTTCGATCTTCGAGCTGGCTCGAAATTCAACTCCAGCTCGAAATTCAACTTTTGAAAATTTTGAATTTCGATCTTCGAGCTGGCTCGAAATTCAACTCCAGCTCGAAATTCAACTTTTGAAAATTTTGAATTTCGATCTTCGAGCTGGCTCGAAATTCAACTCCAGCTCGAAATTCAACTTTTGAAAATTTTGAATTTCGATCTTCGAGCTGGCTCGAAATTCAACTCCAGCTCGAAATTCAACTTTTGAAAATTTTGAATTTCGATCTTCGAGCTGGCTCGAAATTCAACTCCAGCTCGAAATTCAACTTTTGAAAATTTTGAATTTCGATCTTCGAGCTGGCTCGAAATTCAACTTCAGCTCGAAATTCAACTTTTGAAAATTTTGAATTTCGATCTTCGAGCTGGCTCGAAATTCAACTCCAGCTCGAAATTCAACTTTTGAAAATTTTGAATTTCGATCTTCGAGCCAGCTCGAAATTCAACTCCAGCTCGAAATTCGGGTTTTGAAAATTTTGAATTTCGATCTTCGAGCTGGCTCGAAATTCAACTCCAGCTCGAAATTCAACTTTTGAAAATTTTGAATTTCGATCTTCGAGCTGGCTCGAAATTCAACTCCAGCTCGAAATTCAACTTTTGAAAATTTTGAATTTCGATCTTCGAGCTGGCTCGAAATTCAACTCCAGCTCGAAATTCGGGTTTTGAAAATTTTGAATTTCGATCTTCGAGCTGGCTCGAAATTCAACTCCAGCTCGAAATTCAACTTTTGAAAAATTTTGAATTTCGATCTTCGAGCTGGCTCGAAATTCAACTCCAGCTCGAAATTCAACTTTTGAAAATTTTGAATTTCGATCTTCGAGCTGGCTCGAAATTCAACTCCAGCTCGAAATTCAACTTTTGAAAATTTTGAATTTCGATCTTCGAGCTGGCTCGAAATTCAACTCCAGCTCGAAATTCAACTTTTGAAAATTTTGAATTTCGATCTTCGAGCTGGCTCGAAATTCAACTCCAGCTCGAAATTCAACTTTTGAAAATTTTGAATTTCGATCTTCGAGCTGGCTCGAAATTCAACTCCAGCTCGAAATTCAACTTTTGAAAATTTTGAATTTCGATCTTCGAGCTGGCTCGAAATTCAACTCCAGCTCGAAATTCAACTTTTGAAAATTTTGAATTTCGATCTTCGAGCTGGCTCGAAATTCAACTCCAGCTCGAAATTCAACTTTTGAAAATTTTGAATTTCGATCTTCGAGCTGGCTCGAAATTCAACTCCAGCTCGAAATTCGGTTTTGAAAATTTTGAATTTCGATCTTCGAGCTGGCTCGAAATTCAACTCCAGCTCGAAATTCGGGTTTTTGAAAATTTTGAATTTCGATCTTCGAGCTGGCTCGAAATTCAACTCCAGCTCGAAATTCAACTTTTGAAAATTTTGAATTTCGATCTTCGAGCTGGCTCGAAATTCAACTCCAGCTCGAAATTCAACTTTTGAAAATTTTGAATTTCGATCTTCGAGCTGGCTCGAAATTCAACTCCAGCTCGAAATTCAACTTTTGAAAATTTTGAATTTCGATCTTCGAGCTGGCTCGAAATTCAACTCCAGCTCGAAATTCAACTTTTGAAAATTTTGAATTTCGATCTTCGAGCTGGCTCGAAATTCAACTCCAGCTCGAAATTCAACTTTTGAAAATTTTGAATTTCGATCTTCGAGCTGGCTCGAAATTCAACTCCAGCTCGAAATTCAACTTTTGAAAATTTTGAATTTCGATGTTCGAGCTGGCTCGAAATTCAACTCCAGCTCGAAATTCAGCTTTTGTTTACTTTGAATTTCGATCTTCGAGCTAGCTCGAAGTTCAAAGCTAGCTCGAAATTCACTAGAAACTGAATTTCGATCTTCGATCTTCGATGTCAGTGCCAACTTCTCGATACTAATATAGGACATATCATGACTATTGAAATGATACGGAACGTTAAAGGGCCTCCAATAACTGGGATCACGGTGTGTAAGTCGGCTGATTTTTGTTCGATTTGATAAGATGTTGTAATGCAAATCAATTCAGTTTATTCACTAAAGACTTGATTAATTTTGTCTTTCTTAGTCACTTTTCACAAAATGCTTGAATTTTTCGTTTAGGCACCTTTTGTTAAAATAAAAAAAAATAAATAAAAAAGATTCGCTAAGAAAAGCTTCAAGCACATCGATAAAATGTTCAGCTAAATAAACGTCTTTTTTCTCATCTTGGTGAAAAGAATTAATTGATTTGTGTAAAAATGTTTGATTAAATCGAATTAAAATCAGATGACTTTCACATCATTATTATGCTTATTGGAGGCCCATTAATGTTTCCGTAAAATTGAGGCAAATTTTATTAATTTTGACGTTCATTTAATTAGGCCGCCAACAACGAAAAAAGTAGTGTACAAAGCCTATATCAATGCAAAAATATTTGTATGAAATAAAAATGGCAAAAAAATGCCTAAACGCAAGTGGCGCATGCACAAAGTCATTAATAAACGAATAAAACCCTACCTAAAATCATATTTTGTTTTGTTCCGGAACATTTTATTCTGTGTACGTACATCATTCATATGTATTAGATAACAGAGACAATCTATGTTACAACTTTTTCGGGAATCAGCAATATGATAATGGAGCCGATATAATTTTACTGCTGATTAATTTTATTAACATATTTCATAAGATATAGATTTATAACCTTTAAAGGGCCTCAATTTGATGCAATCATGAGGTGGGATAAGGGATCATAGAGATACATAAATAATGTTAAAAAGAAAATTTAAAAAGAAAGAAAATAAAGTTGCCCCTTCTGGGGTTTGAACCCACGCCCTCCAATTTCAATAGAGTTGACAAGTGATTCTAACATATTTGAATACATGTACTCTTCAAAGTAAAGGTAATGCATTACCCATCAAATCAATTCATTTTTATTCACAAAGACTTGATCGTTTTTGGTTTTACATTCTTAGTCACTTTTTTCAAATTGCTAACTTTTGTCAAACAGCCAAATGCTTTACAAAAGACGAAAAGATTTCGCCTAGACAAAAACTTTAAGCATATCGATAAAAGGTTCGACGAATTAAAAGTTTTTTTTAAATGTTTAGTTAAATCGAATTGAAATCAAATGACTTATACATTATGGTCTCACTTATTGGAGACACTTTAACGTTTCCGTAGCCAACATATATACTTGTAAAGTTTGTAAATTCGTCTTCAATGATTATATGATGTTAAAAAAGTGTATAAAGCTTTATGTTGTCTGTTATTTACATAAAAATGTTTAATTTTATATAAAAAAAATCTTTTTGAAATACTTGAATGAAGAAAATTTTGTTTTGTTTATATCTTCAAGTGCGACTGTGGCAAGCACGGAATCATTGCTAAACAATTGCAACCCAATTTAACAGCAAAATATTTTCTTTGCGGAACATATTATTTTATTAACATACAATAATCATTTGTGTTAAATAGCAATCTATGTTATAAAAATTTTTGACAATCGAGCGAAAGATTTAAGAAACAGCATATTTTAACGTTTATAATTTTTATGAAAATATTTCACTACATGCATTTTTATACCCTTTAAATCTAGGAATATTATTTTATCCAAAAGTAAAACATATTCTAGATTGTTTAAATAGTTTTATTATAATATAAAACTTACCTTGAGAATCTGGAGATATGCAAAATCCAACTATGAGACATGTGCATAAAAATCCAGAAGCAACTATCAGACGTTTGTGTGCTTTGAGAAAGTAGCTTAAAGTTTTAAAAATCAAACGAGAATAGGCACACGCCAGTTTTCCTTCTCTGCATCTCATATTCCTTTCAGTTTGATATATTTTTCCTGAGCAAACAAAATGAATGAATAAATAAATAGAAAATAAATAAATAAAAAAGAAGAATTTAATAATTACAGAACAGACAAGAGAAGATACTTTATATAAGTGTTTTGTATCTAAGTCAAAACACGCATGCGTAGTTTGTGGGTTTACAAACAAACACATGCAAAATACACGCGTATATGCCATTTAAAGTGAGGTTTAAAACGGGATAAACTTTGAAACGCCTTAACAGTCTCATTATACATGTGTGTATAAACTATTATATTTTGTTACAAAATAATGATAACAAATAACACGTATTTTTAAGCTTTTATAATCAGTGTAATTATATAGTATTTATTATAAATGATTTGATATTGGATAGAATATTTACATATAGTGTATTGAAATAACTCGACAGTCATAAATAGCATATGGAATGTAAAATTAATTAGTAAATTAATTTTTTAATTAATTAAAAAGATAATTAAACAATTAAGTAAATAAATAAACTAAATAAACTAAATAAATAAATTAGATAAATAAATAAAAATGAAAACATGAATTATAGATAAAAAGAAAATGAATAAATTAACAAATAAAGAAAAACATATATTAAAAATATAATATAATATAAATAAATAAATAAATAAATAAATAAATAAATAAATAAATAAATATAAATAAAATTATATATTTAAATAACTCGAAAATAGTGACATTAGTGAGAAGGCGGAAAGATATTCCCAACGTTTATAATCTTTATGAAAATATTTCACTTTAATTATGTATTTTTATACCCTTAATAAATAGTAAAGTTTTTTTTTCAAAAGTAAAACGGATTCTAGAATTATTTTCTTTCTTTTCAATAAACTCAATAGTTTTATTATGATACAAAACTTACATTTAGAATCTGGAGATGTGCAAAATCCAAATATAAGAAATGTGCAAAAAAATCCAGAAGCGAATTTGTGTGTTTTTAGAAAGTAGCTTAAAGTTTTTAAAGTTAAATGAAAATAGACACACAACGGGTTTTCTTCTCTGCGTCTCATATTTTTCACTGTTTATGCTTCACGGTTTTCTGATAAATTAGATGAAAAGTTAGATGCAAATCAGATTTTTTGTAAATATCTATTAGTTGTAAATCAATCAGAAAAAACGCAGTCCAAAGGACAGCTATATCTTTGCCCACGATACTTTTATAGCAATACAGCTCAACATCATCTGGCAGGGTTAGATGGGTTTTTTTAGTACAGCTTTAGTGAACTAAACATTTGAAGAAAGTTTCATGAAAATCCTTCAACGGAATTGGGGGATACGGAGCGGGCACAAAATGCAGGCTTGAACATTAATCAGTGATCAGGTCAGTGATTTTGTATAGGCTTTAACATCGTATTAACCGTCAAAAGTTGATTTATATTAAATTGATGACTTATGCGGATATAGTTCGATGCCTTCAATATATTATGGGATATCAAAAGAAACTGAAAAAAATTGAAATGAAGAACACCTTCATTTGAATAATATGCATTTTTAAGATTTTCAAATACCTTCACCTACCCAAAGATTATTATTTATCAAACTGAACTGTTTAAAAAGGTATCACACTGAGTTTAATGAATCTTGATTCCGAGAGTTTCGATGCATAACGTGAGCATTTTTATCTGAACGCGTAAGAGTTATTAATTGAATATGTGTGTGTGTATTTTGAAAAATCAAATCCCGTTACGAGGTCTATATTTTGCATGTGCACGTGGTTTGTTCTTGTCAGACAGACCCGATTATATAAAACATGTGAAAAGATAGACCTGCCTCGATATGCAGACGAATTAAACATTGAAATTAATCAGAAAATAAAATAATAATAATAAATAAAAAATGATAGAAGTAATAAGTGACTGAATAACAAAAAATAACACCAAAAACAAAGAAGAAAAACAACATTATAATATAGCGAAATCATTACGATTTTCATAAAATTCCTGTCATAAAAATAAATCGGGACACAAATTCTAAACAAGATAATGTTAATTGAATGCACATAGCAATTATCCAATGTCCCTTTATTAAATCTTTCAATAAAATAATTGACAACGTATCAAATATAAAATACTGTTCGCGTTTTGTTTGTTTGTTTGTTTGTTTGCTTATTTCAAAGTAATAATCTAAACGGTTCTTCCGGCATTAACTTTACAGTATGACAAAAGTGGACGCTTGAATTGTACTGCAATAAAACTATAACATTTATTATAGCATATTTATTACTACATTTTAAATTATGCAATCAATAACAGGTTAAACGCTTTACAAAAAAAAATGTACGAAATAAATCATATCGAAAAATCATAACAAAAATTACGTCCTTTGAAAACGCATTTGTGATTCAAATGAAGTCTTTTTGATTAAAAACTGTATCCACTACCCATAGTTAATAATGATCAGCCCTGGTTTAATTTCAACCGCGGGAGTTAGATTGTTAAAATCCGTTTCACCCCTCGTTTTTTGGGTTATTTTTCCCCTCCCCGGAAGCTGCTTTTTAATTTGAAAATGAAATTTTTGCTTATATTTTTTATATGTTTATTTTTTTTTATGTTGGCCTTTTTCGTCATTGTATTTGTTAAATTGGGCCAAAAGGTTGTTAAATATCCTTTTTTGCCAAAAAAAAAATAAAATAATTAATCAAAAACACAAAATTCAACGGCAAAAAGAAAAAACTGTTTTCCCACTCCCAAAACCTCCTAAATCTGTGTGCTACATTAAAAGTGTTTAAAAACCATTTTATATTGGACTACCCGCAAACTTGCCTCAAGGACATAATTATTTAAAAATAATTCAAATGAAAATTTTCCCTTCAGAAAAATATTATTAAATTTTTAAAGGGAAAAAAAAAGTTAAAAGCAAAATATGTGTCCTAATAGAACGTTGATAAAATCTTTACCTGTACGCGTGCTGTGTTAAAAATGCATTATGAATTAAATACAGTGTTTGGGATATAAAGTAACCTGAGCCGTTGTATCAACACATTTACTATGACGGTGTCTAAGACTCGAACTTGCAACCACGTAGTCACAATTCCGTCGCACTTACCACTAGGCCATCGTTCAGGTTTTGTTGATTAAAGAATCAAGATCTATACTATCATATCATTTTAATCTGAAATGCAAATCATAATTAATTAGGGAAATAAAAAACCACAACAACAAAATTAATGAGTCTCAAGTCAATATTGGCAATCAATACATACGCGTATTGTTTAGGTTTAGATATTTTAGATAAATGTTAATAAGGTATCGTATTAAATTATATTTTTGATAAACAGCGTTTTCCAAAGTCATGGTCTTAGAGGGTAATTATACCTATATTGAAGAAAAAGAGATAACGCTAAAGCAAATAATTATGAAGGTATTTGCATGCAAAATTATTCAATGGTGTTTTTTTTGGTGGTTTTCAGTTGTTAAACGCCAGTTATATGCTTTAATGACAAGAATGCACAGACCGATATCTCAGTAACGCTAACTTCTTTAGAAAAAGTGCGCGTTATTTAAAAAGATGCACACTTATGCAAGTTAACTTGGTTAAAAAAAAAGGTCGCTGGAAGAAACAGATATATTCAGACTAGGGGTAGGTGATTCGATACTGGGGATATGGCCTTCTGTTAAGAAATAGGTTTGTCTGGTGCATAAACGTACTTTTCTATAAACCTTTTAATCCTTTTTCCTGAATGTAATTTGGTTCTTGGAGGCAAGTCCCCGAGATAATAACAATAATCTTTTTCAGTGCAATAAATTTAAAAATCCATCTTTTGGCATGTCATTAAAAAACGACGGTTATTGTACTACTATCGCAGCACAATTACTTACAGCATCAATGTTTTTTTGTTCGTCTTCGGTTATGCAACCAAGCCGGAACACCCACCAAACTTCTGATTTTTACGGTGTTCCGTTTGGACAGTCGAGATTTTTTTATTAAGTCTGTACCCGCGATGCACGATGGTATGATGGTGAAAACACGATGGTACGATGATGAAAACGCGATGGTATGATGTAAAATCGCGATGGCGAGATAATACGATGGTGAAAACGCTATGTAACATCGTGTTTTCAGCATCGTACAATCGCGTTTTCACATTTGTACCACCGTGTTTTGACCATCGTGCCATCGTGTTTTCACCATCGTACTATCGTGTTTTCACCATCGTACCATCGCGTTTTCACCATCGTACTATCGTGCATCGCGGTAACAGACTAAATAAAATATCACGACTGTCCAAACGGAACACCGTAGATTTGCTCTTACGTTATTGGGTTTAAATGAGGGAAAGAAATTGGTCATTTACATATACCATATAAAGTAACCGAGGTTCCGAGTGTAGACTTGAATCTATTAAGGAAGCAAAGGATAAATTGAAATTTTATGCCTTAAATTATTATTATTTATATCAAAATTATTATATGTGATAGAACAGTTATAATATATCGAATTCGACTGTTAGGTGGAAATATCATGGCCTGGGGCGGCACCTTGGGTTTCCCCTACAGTTAATTTCCCCGGCTTTACGGCCTCGATCATTTTCTACACAGAAAATCCAAAGATGACTCCCCAGGCCATGATATTTCCAAATTACAGTCTAACTATAACCTATAGATATCAATGAAAGATTAAAGAATTGGTCTACTGTAGATGATATTGTTACTGATGCACAGTCTGGTTTACAAGCTGATTATAGTACTGTAGATACAATATTTATATTGAAATTGAAAAATAGATCTAAACTGTACTGTTGTTTTATGCAAGAATATTATTCTGATTGTGAAAAATGATCTAAAATTGAAAAGCGTTGCCACGCCTTTTACTTAAACCGGGCTATGAACATCGCAAAATTACGAATTTCAATTTATTTTTTAGTTTATTTCTTAATTTTCTACTGCACATCTTCGTGTTTTAAGTGTTGCAGTAGATCTGTGTAAGAAATTCATATGTTATGTTTTAGGTTTTTGAACATGAGTCGGGTTAATGAGTCCCCGTAATAAATGTTACAATTTTCAATCACAAGAATTTATCAAGAGTGTGAGCTTAACGTCTATTAATTTGATTGTGCATTCACTTAAACTTACGGGTCTTGCCGTGCTACCCGCTTTAAGTGCTCTGATTCAATCAAACTGTAGTTTTAAAACGTTATGAAGCATTTTAAATGAGATACTGCTTTTGACAATGTGCACCTTGTCGGATCGATTGCACGACTTGTCTATTATGGCCCGTAATTATATATCATAACGATATAATGCATAAATGTGAAACATGATATCATTTTATTCAAGTTTCTTCTTGTCACAAATTGTTTAAAAACAAAAATAATACATGTATATAGGCATTTACAACCAATAAGCGATGAGTGACGGTCCACAATTTAGGGATGACGATGTGTAAAAACCCGGATTGCTCAGTCGTTAGAGCCGATATAAGGGAGTATATGTGTAAAAGCGTCGCTCGAGGTCTGTATTTGACACAAACTCCTCGCAGCGGTTACATCCCCTGATCAGTACAGTAACCACTGCCACCACAAGTAAGTTCGGTCGAATATAGCCGGATATGTTTTTTTTTAAATAGAATACTTTATATAATTTTAGTTTTCTTTCATTAAATAGTTATGCTTAATGTACAAGATTGTAAAAAATATACGTATAAAAATTATTTTGTAAACATAACGAAAGATATTTTCACTGTGACACCGTATGTATAGTAAACAATGACAGATTAAGACAGTTATTGAACGATTGCAAAAAAGATTTGATCCGACACTTGTTTTAAAGTGTAAACAAATTGTGTATTTTGAACATATTTTGTCTGGTAAGAATGTAATCATAAATCTGCCAGTTTGATATGGTATCCTTGGCGTTCTGAAACTGGCCGCCATGTTTTTGTCACATGATACAACTATCGTCACGTGATTTCAGTGGTGGCAGTGGTTAAAGTAGCAAAGCGTGACATAACCGCTGTGAGGAGTTTGTATTTGACAGAATAGAATCCTTTAAGTGACAGAATAAAGCATACATATTCCCCTACCATCCACCCTTTTTTGTTTTTGTTTTTTTTACAGTCTTTTCTTAGAGTCAGATATTTTCAGTTGATTTCATCATTACTCCGCCGAAATTCGAGACAGCCCTCATTCCAGCAGATGTGTTTTGTAATAGACTAGGGACATGGTTGTTTTTGAAATGTACTAATTCTGTCTAAACCTATAATGCTTGTTGTTGTTGTTTTGAAGTATTTGAGAATAGAAAATAATTGATTTACTCCGTGGTCGAGGGGTTAGAGTCGATGACTTCTAATCCAGTTACCTCTCTGGCGTGGGTTCGATCC